TAGGGAAATGGTACTGTAAGAGTGACATTCTAGCTATGACTATCCAGAAATTATGCAAGAGGCAAGCGTTTATTAGGGTGATATCTTTTATTAGATCAACTCCATAGCTGCGATAAAGTTAGACAAACTTTCAAATGCAAGACATAATTCCATAGGTCTCTCTGATCATGGGGAGCCAGGCACAACATAGTGAAAAACAGCAGAGGGGAGGGAGTAAAAGCAATTCTCAGGGGTAGCAGACACAATTAGCAAAAGAAAAGAAGCTGATTACTGGAAGATCAAGGCCTATCAAAAGGAAGGCGGTCATTCTCACCTTCCCTGTGGGGAAAGAATTTAGGAGTTGGGTAAAACATAATATGCCATAAACCAATATCAATGTTTAGTCATTGGTTCTTAGTGTCCAGTCAGCTTATGAATTTGTGTTCCCAAGTTTGCCATTAAAACATGTTAGGGTAGCTTTATCTTGAGCATGAGGATAGTAATGGATTAACAAACTTTAAAAATGGGTTCTCCTTTAAAGGAGAAAAATGTGGGAGACAGTGGTTTTCCCTTGCAGGCTGGCAGCGTTCCAACCTGCAAGGGGCTGCTCGGGGCCCCCCCCATGCCCTCCCATACACACCCTGCCCCACAAACTGGGGGACTGTGGCCTGGGGACAGGGGTCAGCAGGTCAGGAGTGAGGGGCACTATGTTGGGACTGGCCATCAATGTTTACAAATGGGTTGGCTACACAAAAGGTTGAGAACCACTGCTTTAGGGTGTGTTGGTTGTAGCCATGTTGGTCTAAGGTTATAGGCAGACAAGGTTCTTTGGGTAAATGTGATCTCTTTTTATTTTGTGCACAAAAATCCTTCTTCAGGCATAGGGGCTCCTCTCTGCTCTCTATGCCTGAAGAAGTGTGTTTGTGCCCAAAAGCTTGCAAACAACCATTTTTCCCAACTATTTAGTTGGTCTAGTAAAAGATATCACATTTACCCAAAGAACTTTGTCTACCTGTTCTTTATATTTTTTTCTGTGGGACTTCATTCTGGTCTGTGGTTACTGTTTAGCTTCACCTACATAGTTGTCATAAAGCACTTGATGCATTGGATTAGGTATATCATATTTTGCAAAAGTCACCCATGGATCCTGATGGGGATTTTTTGTAGGGCAATAATTCAGCTGTTCTTAGAATAGCACAAGCTTGGTTAATATATAAAATTTAGCTGAGTAAGAAATTGCAGGAGATGAGTAAACACAAGAGAACAAGGTTTAGTATGATACGTGGATCTAACACAACTGCTTTGTCATCTTTTGTGCTACATTGTCCAAATGTTCAGCAAACATTCTATAAAAGTATAACTGTTTTACCTGCACTTCTGGAATAATTCTGCATCTTCAAAGAATTCTTGATCTGTGGCCTTTAAAGAATTATCATACTCATCAAAATTGGGAGAATTCTCTTGCCATTTATATTTGTATTTCATGTACCAAGCATCTGTTTTAAGATGTGATTTTGAATGCGAATCACTGAAAAACATGTAAAAAACAACATGATAATTTGGGGGAAAACACCTGACAGCTCTTTATGGGTCAGAATTTTGTATGGAAAAATTAAGTGTTTTTTTTTAATATTCAGTTTTATTAAGGATATACTTCAGAAGGACTAGTAGCTAGAGGTATAGGTTACCATTCTTTATCAAAGGATTTCTTTTTCAGAGTAAAAACTGAAGGACTTGGATCAAAGTATAATATGGTCCACAGATACAACAATATCTTATAAAACAAATGGTGAAACTTTGAATCCACTGAAATGGATACCAAACATCCCATTGACTACAGTGCAGCCAGGATTTTGTCTCAGGACTTACCATTAAGTGACTAAGATTTTTAGTTGCCATCATATTAGAAATTCATTAATCATAGAGCCTCCTATATACAGCTGACACTACAGTGAATGAAAGCTAATATTATCAAAGAGAATTCAGCTCCCATTGACATACCCATATTTACCCAAATCCAAGACAACTTTGAATTTAAGATGACCCCCCCAATAATTAGGTTCCATATAGAGAACGTTTATGAATTTGATATAATTTTCCATGTATAGAATCTAATTATTGGAGGGTCATCTTAAATCTGACCCAGGTTTGGGACCAGAGTCAGAACCACAGCAGCTGCCTTGCCCCCCTCTGCCTCCAAGATGAGAGGCTTCCTTCTCAAGGCTCCCCAGTTCCCCCTTCTCTTCCTCTACTCCCCCACTCCTCTTTGAAAGCAGGAATTGGCATAAATGTTTTTTTTCTCCATGTTGAATGGAGAAAAAAAATCTCATCTTGCATTCTAGTAAATATAGGAAATCGAATCCCATTCACTTCAACCAGATCTGGCTCAGACCCTAGCTGAATAACCCTTCCAAGGTCTCCTTTTACAATTACATTTGAAGAATACTATTTAAAACGACTATACAACACTGACTATCTGCTTTGCATGCAGACTATGAATTTAAAGAGTGTGCCTTCTTAAAATAAAGAGATGCCTTTGAGGTACCTAAAGAGGGTGGCTTTCAGCTTAAAAAATTGTGCCTCAGTCCTACAAGGTGCCAAGTCCTCTTGGCACAGATCCATACAAGCACTTAACTCTCCTACTTTTCCTTCCTGTACCCACCACCAACCACTACATAAGTTGTTCTAGTGGCTTAAGTTAAGCAGGAGATTGTAGGATCAAACCCACAGGTATTCAGCATTCATAATATGGATGGTTACAAAAAAGCAACAGAAGATTATATAGTATGTCTTGATTATTTAATTGGATAAAGGACTTTATTTGCCTAGTTTATGGACAGCAAGAAAAACTAAGGGTAACAAACACCTGGATTTCAACAAATTATTTTTCAGAGGGCCATGCCTCCATAAATCTTGAAAATATATTGCAAACCACATATTTAATTTATATTGACAGACAAAGTCAGACAGTGCCAGGCCGTGGCAGTGGGCAAGGTGTCCCCTCTTTGCATTCGTATCCCAGTAACTGCAGTGGAAATTATCTTTGGCCAGCACTCCAAGCATGGCTTACTTCTCTCAGTTTGGCTTTTCTCTCACCTTCCTCAGACCTGAGGAGACCTGCAGGGTGTCACATTGCCTCTTTCTCAGGAGGGTGCAATGCTCTGTAGTCACATTGTCCCCTGAAGAGTTTATGACCAGCGAGAGCAATTCATACTGTAGGCTCTGAGACAATGCAATAATCAAGCCCATAGACCAGACTTATTTGGACATGTTCTGGGATGATTTTTATGCAAGATACCACATATTTTGTTAATTTTAGAAATAGGTAATATTGTACAATACAGTTTATTTGTATCCGTGGTGACTTATGCACTGGTTTAATCTAAGTGACTACTGCCAGACAGGACCACAAATAATCAGTGTGTCTTTTATAATTGATTCTTTACCAAATACAGCACTTTCAGCCTCCACTCTAACCTTTAAGAAAATAGTGCCACCTATTGCCATAATCAGTAAGTACAACCCCTGTCTGGAGTGTTACTGTTAACTGAATGTTCTTCCAGCTTTCTCTAGATCTCTTCTGTTTTTGTAGCTCATTTCTTTCATTGTTTCCAGAAGCATCTGAATTATTCCTGTGTCACACCAGGGTAATTCCACTGATTTCAACAGAATTAAACCACTTCTAAACTGGAGCACTGCCTTGTAACTGGCCCAATATTTTTAAATAATTTCCATTGTTAAGGATGTAATGGGCTTATGCAGCAGAACAAATGGTCTTTTTTAACTTGTTATAGAGGTCAAAACAAGCCTCTGTATTTATTAGGGGTACTGAGAAAGATGGAATACTTTATTTGCTCTTGTCATTTTAGAAATCCTTCACTCTTGCACTCGCACAAAAATGAGAAATAGGTCTAATGAAACAGAAATTCCTTAAAGTCCACAACTAAAGAAATATTGGAGAGAAATAAGCTTACTGTTACTGGGTTTTTGCTTGACTTTCAATAACTATAAACATTATTCAAGTTTAATATTATATAAAGGTAACAAAGTTTTCCTGCCCTTTTTCTTTTCTTTAGCATTCACAATGAGATAATATTAGTGATTGCTATATAATCTTTTCATTGCTAGAAAAAAATTAATTGACATATGTGGACCCAGGCATCCTTCCTATTCCTTTATTCATGATGTATAAATTGGTTTGGATATACTGAAACATGCAGGTTTGTTCATCAGTTTTCTCTCCTTCAAATATAGCTTGTATATTGTATGAGCTATCGAAAATTATATAAATAGTATTAATATTAAAATTGCTGTAGAAATTGCTCTGCCTTTCAGTCAACTACTTCTCTCTCCTTCTTGATAATGATGATCATGACAATGGGTACAAACAAGCGTTGCCCTTGGGCTGCCATAAATATATTTACACTTTACAAATTATTTATAGTGGCACGTGTTGTGAGCAAATAAATGTTCCTGCCCTTTGTAACACTCCAATTTCCCAAAAAATGTTTGAGCATCCAAACCTAGTCACAGTTTGTGATGCCATAAAGGAGACAGCTGTGTGCCCCAGGAATTCCCCTGCAGGGCACCCAGGGTTGTTGCCCTTCAGAATCAGGCTCCTGAAACCTGGAGTCCAAACCTGCAGGACAATGGCTCTAGTGACATCCGTTTCTGCTGATCAATTGGATTAGCTGTGTGAGGACACTTCCTGGCACAGCTGATCCTGCAACAAAAGTGATGGCTGTTTCTATCCAACAGCAACAACAACTAAAGCATTGTTCATTAGCATATAATATATTCTGTAGTGAGACTATACCTATAAATAATACTTTTTATAGTTCATCCAGCTAAGGGTACTGAACGACTTGAAGGCAAACATCTCTTCATTGTCGTTAGTCTGAGTCTGATGAGTTACAGTTCTAAGAGGGCCTGATTCAGTGCCCATTAAATATAACAGAAAGATTCATATGGACGTCGGTGATTGGGGAGCCAACTTACAGGGATCTATTTTTTCAGGTGCTAGCTGCCCAGTACACTGAAAGTTTGTTTCTTGGCAATTCAATATTGCACCTATTTGGTTAAATTTTCATACTTGAAAATGAATGATTTTTAAAGCAGTTGCTTTCATTGTGGAGATGTGCAAAATTTCAAAGTTGCACAACAAAATGATTGATTTGGCAAAATTTCATGAAAATAAGAAACATGAGGCAAAAAGCAATTGTGAAAGTGGTTTAAAGACACCTTGTATCTTCTAGTTACTGGTATTATTAATCCCTAGAGTCTGAAATAGAAATGGCTAACACAAAATGGATGCCATGAAGCAAAGATGCAGGAAGCAACACGGACATCAAAGGAAGTGACAATACTCAGAGGTGTGACAAAACAGCCAGGTACCAGGGACAGCAGAATGCATGGGGGCAGCAGTGACTTCTAGTTGTCACTGTGCTGCTGGTGTGATTATACTGCTGCAGGAGCAGCTGATATTTTTTTTGTTCCCACCTCGCCCTATATCAGTGCCTCGGGCAGCTGGCCCGGTCACCCCACCATAGTTATGCTACTGATACTACTTATGTTGGGAGAAATATAGCTATTACCAAAATGCTTTGAGAATAGCAGACTGCAAGCATATTATTTTTAATATGAACCTTCAAACTAGATCTAACTTGGAAACCTCGCCCCAGGGTTGCAAGGATTAAACATAGAGGGGTGTAGCCACTCCAAACCCACATAAATCAGTCTCAAGGAGTTGAGCTGAACTTTGGCTTTCAACCTGCATAGGGCAGGCAGTTGCCACAAACCAGAAGGAAAGGGAATGGGCAGGGCTACAAAAAGCCTGCAAAAATGAAAAAAAACAGGGGACAATGGGTTGAACTATAGCCCCCAGGCTGCTTTGGGGGCTAGCAGGAGGGGAAGTGGGAAAAAGGAGCTGCAATGTGGGAGCTATTTCACCCAAAGCCCTAAGCCAATCCCTGGGGCAACCGTCCCAGACACCCTGGGGTGACAGGACCTCTCCCCTGCTCTCTCTGGCCTCTCTTCGGAGCTGGGGTAGATGGAGTAGGGGAGAGGCCTTGTTCCTTGATAGGCTCCCAAAACCACTGACGGAAGCCCTAGGGAGATTGTAGAGGAGGAGCCTGGTCTTGACTGCAGCTGGGAGGAAGATCAACTTCCCTACTGAGGAGACACAACAGAGAGAGAATTTGACTGTGGCTACAGAGCAGGTCCCAATTGAGTTGTACTTATAAAGGCTGAAGAAGTTAATATGGGCAGTGTGACTGTGGAGCAGTAAAAGTCCTTATGGAATCTGGGGCATCTTAGGCTGTGCACAATGCAAAGATTCTCACCCTGAAGGGTTCCTGTTGGACTGCTGGAATTGGGATTTTAAAATGCACCAGGGCAATTGTGTTATCAGGTTTCCACGCAGTATTTCATGGGTTACATTGCAGATCATTGTTCTAATGGGTGTAAATAAATCAGATTTGTTTGTACCCTACTGTTAAACTGTTGTACTGTTGGGGAACCCAAGTCACC